GTTATACAAAAGTACATACAAGAGGAAGTGAGGGGAAAGGGAAAAATAATACAAGGGGGAGAAATGAATGACAGTAGAGGGGGTAGAGAGAGAAGAGGGGAGGGGAGGGGAGGGGAGGGGGGATAGTAGAGGATAGGAAAGGCAGCAGAACACAACAGACACTAGTATGGCAATATGTAAATCAATGGATGTGTAACTGATGTGATTCTGCAATCTGTATATGGGGTAAAAATGGGAGTTCATAACCCACTTGAATCAAAGTGTGAACTATGTAATGTTTTGAACAACCAACAATAAAAAAAATAAAAATTAAAAAAAAGAAGTCAGTTCCTAAGCTGACATGATATAAATTTGGGCCTACTTTTTATTCTATTAGGTGCCAAGATCGGGTCTAATGCCTAAGTTTTTAATCCACTTTGAGTTGATTTTTGTGCAGGGTAAGAAGTTTGAGTTCAATTATATTTTGCTACATATGCATGGCAAGTTTTCCCAGACCATTTGTTGAAGAGTCATATCTTTTCTCCAATGTATGTTTTTGGCACTTTTGTATAGTATAAAATAACTGTATTTATATAAGTTTGTCTCTGTGTCTTCTGTTCTCCACCATTGGTCTTCATGTCTGTTTTTGGTGCCAATACCGTGCTGTTTTTGTCACTATAGCTCTGTAGTATAATTTAACATCTGGTATTGTGATGCCTCCTGCTTCAGTCTTCTTGCTAAGGATTGCTATGGCTATTCTGGGTCTCTTATTTTTCAAATGAACTTTATGACTGATTTTCCCATTTCTATAAAAAATGTCATTGGAATTTTAATGGTAATTGCATTAAATCTGTATAGCACTATTGAGAATATGGCCATTTTGACAATGTTAATTCTACTGTCCAAGAACATGGGAGATATTTCCATCTTCTAAGGACTTTTTTAATTTATTTCATTAGTGTTCTGTAGTTTTCATTGTAGAGGTTTTTCACTTCTTTTGTTAGATTGATTTCCAAATATTCTAACTTTTTTAGTCTATTGTGAATGGGGGAGTTTTCCTAATTTCTTTCAATGGATTCATCACTGATTTATAGGAACATGTTTGGTTTATGGTTGTTAATTTTATATCCCGCTACTTTGCTGAATTCATTTATTAGTTCTAGAAGTTTTCTGGTGGACTTTTTTGGGTCTTCTAAATATGGGATCATGTCATCAACAAATAGGGATAGTTTAAGTTCTTCTTTTCCTCTTTGTATCCCTTTAATTTCTTTCTCCTGTCTAATTGCTCTGGCTAGAGTTTCAAGAACTATGTTGAATAGGAGTAGTGAGAGAGGACATCCCTGTCTTGTTCCAGTTCTTAGAAGGAATGTTTTCAGTTTTTCTCCATTTAGATTGATGTTGGCTTTGGGATTGGCACATATAGCTTTTATGATGTTGAGGCATGTTTCTACTATCCCTAGTTTTTCTGATGTCTTGAACAGCAGTGCTGCATTTTTTCAAATGCTTTTTCTGCATCTATTGAAATGATCATATGATTGGCAGCCATTATGAAGTCAAACAACAACAAGTGCTGGCGAGGATGTGGGGAAAAGGGTACACTTGTACATTGCTGGTGGGACTGCAAATTGGTGCAGCCAATTTGGAAAGCAGTATGGAGATTTCTTGGAAAGCTGGGAATGGAGCCACCATTTGACCCAGCTATTCCCCTTCTAGGTCTATTCTTTAAGTCTATTGATGTGATTAATTGTGTTTATTGATTTCCATATGTTGAACCAGCCTTATATATCTGGGATAAACCCCACTTGATCATAGTGCACTATCTTTTTAATATGATTTTGTATGTGATTTGCCAGAATTTTATTGAGAATTTTTGCATCTATGTTCATCAGGGATATTGCTCTGAAGTTTTCTTTCCTTGATGTGTCTTCGTTTTGGTATCATGGTAATAGTAGCTTCATAGAATGAGTTGGAAGGGTTCCCTCCTTTTCTATTTCATGGACTAATATAAGGAATATCGGTATTCTTCTTTGAAGGTCTTGTAGAACTTGTCTGGTCCTGGACTTTTCTTAGTTGGTAGACTTTTGATGGCATCTTCTATTTCTTTTTTGTGGGGAAGGGGATTACTGGGAATTTAACTCATAGGCACTTGACCACTTAGCTACATCCCAGCCCTATTTTGTATTTTATTTTGAGACAGAGTCTCTCTGAGTTGCTTAGTACTTCACTTTTGCTGAGTCTGGCTTTGAACTCATGATCCTCCATCCTCAGCCTCCTGAGCCACTGGGATTACAGGCATGTTCCACATGCCTGATGCTTCTTCTATTTCTTGAAATTGATCTGTTTAAATTGTATATGTCCTCCTAACTCAATTTGGGTAGGTCATGTGTCTCTAGAAATTTGTTGATATCTTCAAGATTTTCTATTTTACTGGCATATAAATTTTCAAAATAGTTTCTGATTATTGTCTGTATTTCAGTAGTGTCCACTGTGATATTTCTTTTTTTCATAACAAATATTAGTAATTTGAATTTTCTCTTTGTTTTAGCATGGCTAAGGATTTATTGATTTTTTATTTTTTTTTTCAAAGAACCAACTTTTTGTTGATTTTTTTAATTGTTTCTTTTGTTTCAATTTCATTGATTTCAGCTCTTATTTTAATTATTTCTTGTCTCTTCCCGTGTTTGGTGTTGATTTGTTCTTTTTCTAGGGATTTGAGATTTATTAGGCTATTTATTTGTTGACTTTCTATTCCTTTAGTGAATGAGCTTAATGCAATGAACTCTCCTCTTAATATTGCCTTCATAGTATCCCAAAGATTTTGATATGTTGTGTCACTATTTTCATTTACTCCTATGTATTTTTTTGTTTCATCCCTGATTTCTTCTGATATCTTTTGGTCATTTAATAGTGTACTACATAGTCTCCAAGTGTTAAAGTAGCTTCTATTTTTTTCATTGATTTCTAATTGTATTCCATTATCATCTGATGATAAAATGCAAGGTGTTATCTCTACTTTTTTGTATTTGCTAAGAATTACTTTGTGGCCTAAGATAGATATGTTCTATTTTAGAGAAGGATTCCATGTGCTGCTGAGAAGAAAGTATATTCGGTCCTTGATGGATGAAATAGTCTATATATGTTCATTAAGTCTAAATTATTAATTGTATTCACTAGCTGATCCCAGTTTTTACTTTTCTCTGAACTTGACTCCAAAAGTTTTGCTAGAAGGTGTAGAATGCTCTCAAGAAGAACTGGCACACTCCCATTTTCCTAAAGTCATTCCTACTATTTTATAAAAAGCCTAAGAGTCTGCCTGAGTCAGAAGCAGAAATCTCCATTAAGAGATCAGCTCTGAAGACAGGAAATTACTGATCATGTCCTACACTTTCAAATGCCATCCCTAGATTATTATGTACTTTAATTCAGTTTCCTGCTCTCTACCTGCTTCTATAGGTAACCAGACCCAGCTGCTGCCCCAGTGCAATGACTCCTGGTCTGACCCAGCAGGCTCCACAGCCTCAGAGGGCCACACTGCCAACTGCTCAGGTGAGCAAGGCCCCCAACACCAGAACCTTCCCATTCCCTGTGCAAATGCCCACTGACATGACCCTGTCTCTCCTCAGACAGCAGACAACTCCGCCTGGTGGACGGGGGCAGTCCCTGTGCAGGGAGAGTGGAGATCCTGCAGCAGGGCTCCTGGGGCTCCATCTGTGATGACAGCTGGGACCTGAGTGATGCCCATGTGGTGTGCAGACAGCTGGGCTGTGGAGTGGCCCTGGAGGCCACCATCTCTGCTCACTTTGAAGAGGGATCAGGGCCCATCTGGCTGGATGAGCTGAACTGCACAGGAGAGGAGGCCTATGTGTGGCAGTGCCCTTCCCAGGGCTGGGGGCAGCACAACTGCAGGCACAAGGAGGATGCGGGGGTCATCTGCTCAGGTCTGTGGTTCACACTGTGCACAGGTGGGAGAAGTGAGAAGGGTGTGCAGGATGGTACCTGAGCTTTAGGGCAGAGGAGGGGAAATTGGTAGCAGGGAGGAGGGAGAAGAGGCTCATTCCACAGTGCCTGTGTCTCTAGCAGAAAAAGATGAGGTGCTTCCATTTCCTGATGCATCAGCTGAGCTTCTGCTCCTTCCTTCTCATCCCTGCCTCCTGACAATCATTCTCTTCAGTGTCCATTTGACTGCAGACCTCATGCTTCAGTTACTGTGTGTGCAACATCCCAAGACCCCACTGTATTAGTTTCCTATTGCTGCCATAATAAATTACCACAGAGTTAATGACTTAAAACAACACAATTCAAGTCTGACCCCAGTCCACCTGAGCTGACAAGGTGTCAGTGGACTGCCTTCAGCTGAGGCTCTGGGAAGACTCATTTTCTTGCCTTTTCCAATGTCTTAAAGTTGCCTGTTTTCCACTTTCTTCTTTAAGTCAACCACCTGGCACACCTCTGAGCATTTTTTCTTCTTCACATCTCTCTCTGACTAGAGCCAGAAACTGCTGTCTGCTTTTGAAAACACAGGTCTAAGGATGTGATTTGATTGTGCTCACATGGTTAATTCATGATAATCTAAAATAATCTCACTATTAAAACATCCTTATCTTGATCTTATCTAAAAAGCCCCTTTGCCTCACAAGGTGACCTATTCACAAGCTCCAGGATCAGGAACTGACATACCTTGGACTTCACTACTCTGTCACCTCACTGTCCATACCCCCTTTCCCAGGATCTGTCATATATTTAGTCAGGTAGCTTTGCCTCCCTCCCTTCAAGAGCCCCACTTCAGTGTTCTTGCCTGTTCATTTTCCACTACACCATTGTCATAGAAATAGAAAGAGACATACAGGTTATTAAAACAGGTAAAAGGTATAAAAGTTTTGTCTTTCCACCTACTGGGCATTTCATCAGCAAAGTTAGCAATGAGCACTCAGTAACTAGGGATAAAGAAAAAACAGCACTAAGAGTTGAATGTTCACTGTGTCCTATTTTCCTCCTCTTGGTTTCAGAGTTCCTGGCCCTCCGGTTGGTGAGCGAGGACCAGGAGTGTGCTGGGTGGCTGGAGGTTTTCTACAACAACACATGGGGCAGTGTCTGCCACAGCCCCATGGAAGCTGTGACCTTGTCCGTGATCTGCAGACAGCTTGGCTGTGGGAACAGTGGGATTCTCAACTCTTCTGTTCCTCTCAGAGAAGGTTCTAGACCCCGTTGGGTAGATGGAATCCAGTGTAGGAAAACGGACACCTCTCTCTGGCAGTGTCCTTCTGACCCCTGGAAACAAAGATCTTGCTCTGCAAAGGAGGAAGCTTACATCATGTGTTCAGGTGACTTACTCCCTATTCCTGTGTCCTCACTCTACAGGTTGTTAGAGAAATTTCATACTTTCAAACCAAAGGAATGAGTTTAAATAAGTTTTACTAGATGAACATTTGAATAGAGATTATTTAAGCCTCAATTTACAATCTTGTTTCAATGAATGACAGAAATAAGTAAACCTGTTCTGACAGCCATTTATGTGGGAAATGTCATGGATATTAAACTGAGCATGTAGAAGCATGGACTTATCTGCCGGGTTTCTGTTCACAACTAAAAGATTCAGGGGTCACTCCAGGAAAACTGGGCTAAATAATCACACAAGAGACACAAATACCTTTTTATTTGGGGTCACTGTGATGGCTCCTCTAACCTTAAGGGTCCGCAGGAAGAGAGAGAGCGAGAGGACACGGCTGACCCCTTTTATTGAGGAGAAGCTATTCAAATGAGGCAAGAGGTCAGGTTTCAGGAGGCTGAGTCTATCTTGACGATGTCCACTGTCAGCAGGTTGACTGACACCTGGGTAGGCCACACCCAAGGACACAGTAAGAGAAGGGGATACACACACAAGGCACTTCCATGGAAGATTCTATCCTAAACAGGGCAAGGGGTTATATTACAAAGGAACATGTGAGCATAGCTTCACCCATGGGGCTGTAGCAAGACACACCCATGCACCAGATACCGACCCTCAAACCCAAGAAGGGTGGGGAAAGCTCTGCCACATTTCTATGACTGAGCGCCTCAGCACCCAGCCGGGGAGTGTGACTCAGTCAAGTGCAAGGTTGGTCTCCCACATTTATCCTCTGAAAAACCATGTAAGCAAATGGCTAGTGCAGCCTAAGGCTTATTACTCTGTATTTCCTTAGTAATTACTCTGTATTTCCTTAGTAGAGTGAAAAATTTGACCTCAATTATGTAAATCACTTGCTATATCATATCACTATGTTAAGGTTATTTTTCACATGTAATGAAGGTTAAACCTCTCGGTACACTGTTCATAGATATTATGAAGATCATTTAATCCAGATGTGCAAACTGAGGCTAGGAGTAAGCACTTCATGCACCCAATGCCCTCAGGAGAGTGAGGAACAATTTGGGGAATCCAGTACTCGTGGGTTGTCTTTGAGCTCATGGTCTTTTACTCTACATCAGTCAGACAACCTCTTAGGCAAGATTGTTGATGGTAAGTAATGGAGTGCCTTATAAGTAGAAGCTTAATTCTAGGCAGGAGGAGAGACAAGAATAAAATACTTTCCCTGTCCTCATGGAGTTTACCCTCCAACATGATAACACATACCAGCCATAATGTGAGTGACAGGAAAAAGTAGAAGGTGCTTTGGAAATGGGTAATTTGAGAAAAAGATAAATCCTATTTAGGTTGAGACCTAAAGGAGGAGTAGATGTCCAAGGAAGGAAGTAATTATAACATTTGGTCATTGTAAATACTGAGGTGTGAGAAGCGTGGTGACCTTGAGGTACTGATAAAATCCCATCAGGAGCAGAGTAGAAAGAGGGTGGTGAAAGTGATGCCTGATTACCTGGATGGGTAAAAAAAAAGCTCAAGGCATGGCCCCAGTAGCAATCCTATTGAAAAGCTGTTTATTAGTCTTCTCCTCTGCCACATTATGGGGAATTGCTGGGAAATGAGGCACCTATTCTCCCCTTATGTTTCTCTTGAACTGATCTCCTCACAGTCCCAGAGGTCTTGGTTGATACTACCTCCTCTGAGCCTTTATCCATATGCTACTGCAAACTAATATGCCCACTTCATCCCTCTCCCAGAAAACATTCCATGGGGCCTGTGGGAAATTGGAGACTATCATCTTCCAATTTCTTAAGACCTGTAATGTCCCCTTCGGTTTCATGTTCTCACAAAAATCTGGCTGTCCTCTGAAAACAATGATGTCCTTATCATTTGGAGGCTCTGTGCGTCTCTTTCAAAAGGATATTTCTGGGCCAAATCTTAAAATAAAAATATCCCTCCTTTTATTTGTCATTTTCAACAATTTATTTCCTTTTTCTCCATGTCCAGCAATGTGAAATTTGACCCATGAGGTGACACCGGCCACCAATTCTGTTGGTGTCAATCTCCAACCTGGTCACTCCCCGTCATCCAGGAAGGCTGCAGTACCAGGCTCACCAGGCTCCTCTGTCTCCTGTTCCTGGTGCTTCCAACATCCTTGAACACACTGAGATAACATCCTGGCCTCTCCATTCCTGACTCTCTCCTGTCAAATCACTCTGCTCCCTCCCACCCCATCTCCCTGGATGGCCACACTATTGACCATCACCAACAGTCCAGCTTGAGATCTTGTTTGCATTGTTCCCTCTCTAACTATTGCCTCTTCTCCTTATGGCACATATTCTTCATTCTCCTTTTCCAAATATTTTTTAAATATTTATTTTTCAGTTTTAGGTGGACACAATATCTTTATTTTTATGTGGTGCCGAGAATCAAACCCAGTGCCTCGGCAAGCTAGGCGAGCGTGCTACCACTTGAGCCACATCCCCAGCCCCTTCCACATATTTTATCCTCATGCAGATTCCCCTATCAGTTTTCCACTCCCCTCATGATTGCACATGTTCTTCTTACCCTGAAGACAACAAGATGCCCCATTATAATCCTCCCCCTTCAGGTACACTCAACTCCCCCTTCTCTTCTGTCAGTCAATGACAAGATATTGAGTTAACTACCTAACTCTTCACTGCCTGCACTAGACTAAGCAAGGACTGATGAATCATGGACACGTACTGTCTCCTGTTATAATGTAAAATTATCCTGTCTCTTTGAATTTGTGATCCAATCTCTGATGGGCCCTCCACACTGGCCCCATATTGTAGTGTGCCTCTCTCATGTGTCCTCTTGTTCTTTCTCTAACATGACATTTTACAAATTCACTGATCTGCCCCTCACTGTTATTTAACCACATCATACACATAAATGATGGTCTTGCCTCAAACTTCACTGGAAAATAGAAACTTTCAGCTGTCTATCTGCTTTTTTGTTTTTTCCTTATGGTCACTCTGACTTACTGATTATTATTCTGTCTTACAGTACTAGAACTTCTTTGTTAGATATCTAAATTTTAGACTCTGTACTCTTCCTTAGCTCCATCTTCCTTTCCTTATCTCATTGGGATTCATGGCCTTAAATTATATCATTTCAATGACAGCTCCCAATATAAACCTCCATAGCTGATCTCTGCCCTTAGGTCCAAACTCCTATATTTCATTGCTAATGTACCCTCACTTGAATATATGATAGACAGCTCAACTTTAGTTTTCAAAATAGAGTGTTTTTTTCTAATCCTTCAATCCCTGCCACTAACTTTTTCTCCTTGTTCTATTCCCCATCTCTGTTAATGCCATTGCTGTGCTCAATTACTTATTCTCAGTCTACATTCATGTCTCCATTTCACTCTCCCTCCAGTTTCAATGTAGTAGCAAGGTCTATGTCTCTACCAGAAACCATGTCCTAAATCCTTCTACTCCTTTCTTCCCACTCTCATCTTAATTCATGAAAGATCACTTGTTGCTTAGACTCTTCCAAAAGTCTTTAGTGGTCTTTGTCTTCTACAACATATTGTCTATTTAATGCTGGAAATAAGCTCATTTGACTTGCAAGTTGATTAATGTATTGCTGTGTGTGTCAGTGAGCTGCATTTAGAAGTGACACTGGCCCATTTCTTTGTGGCTCCCAGATGCAGAAACAACTGGAAACCATGTCTCATGTCTCTAATTAGCCTAATTAGCAAAAATTGCCAGGGAATATGTAGTCAGCTTGTTCTCAGGCTTTGAAGGACTTCCCCCATAGAAAGGGGAGGGGACTGTGAGCCATTCAAGGGGTTGGGGATATGACTCATGGGTGCAGATTACTACTGATTGGGTTTGGATTCATTCTTTTTTTTTTTATTGCTTGTTCAAAACATCACAAAGCTCATGATATATCATCTTTCATACATTTGACTCAATTGGGTTATGAACTCCCATTTTTACCCCAAATACAAATTGCAGAATCACATCGGTTACACACTCACATTTTTACATAATGGCATATTAGTGACTGTTGTATACTGCTACCTTTCCTATCCCCTACTATCCCCCCTCCCCTCCCCTCCCACCTTCCCTCTCTACCTCATCTGCTGTTGTTCAATTCTCTCCCTTGTTTCCCCCCCTTTCCCCTCACAACCTCTTATATGTAATTTTGTGTAACATTGAGGGTCTCCTACCATTTCCATATGCTTTCCCTTCTCTCTCCCTTTCTCTCCCCCCACTCATCTTTGTTTAATGTTAATCTTTTCCTCATGCTCTTCCTCCCTGTTCTGTTCTTAGTTGCTCTCTTTATATCAAAGAAGACATTTGGCATTTGTTTTTTAAGGATTGGCTAGCTTCGCTTAGCATAATCTGCTCTAATGCCATCCATTTCCCTGCAATTCCATGATTTTGTCATTTTTTAGTGCTGCGTAACACTAAACAACCTCTCCATGTGAGGCCCCCCAGGGAATGAGTAATGCTGTCTGTCTGGACAACGAGCACTAGAGGCATGAAGGGATGACCACCCCATCTTCTCTTATGCTGTGCTCTTTTTTGCTCTCTTCACAGAATCAGCCACATGCTTAACACTAAGGGATTTATGTTCTTCCCTCTAGTTTGTTTTTGCTGTAGAGTTAAACAATATTTTTTCTATTACACTGAATTACCAAAACCTTACTCATCCAAATCAAGGAAGACATATAAATAAATATAAAGAGTCTTTAAATACAAACATATAAATAAATATAAAGACATATAAATAAATATAAAGACATATAAAAATATAGAGAGTACATTAGTGACATTGCACAAACTCTTATCTATTTATATTCCATATTCCCCTGATTTAAATAGGATTAATGGACTTAAAAATCAAAATTTTTCCCAACCCTCTATTTTCATGAAATCCTATCTTAAGCCATATAGTGATAAAAGCATTTATCCTATGGTGTCTTTTTATTTGGTTTTATAATATTGGAATTATATCATACTTACTATTGTTACATTGGCTTTCTTAACAATATATTGTGGATATTCCTCAAGTAGAGCTCACTCATTTGTAAAACAACACCATGATGTTACATTCTTAAGAGATTAGCATTACAATTTGCATAATCATTTTGCTATTAATTTATAATTCTTTTCTATTTTTCCCTTCTACAAACAATATTGTAACAAATGTCCTTGCACATGTAACACTATATACTAGTAGGTTTATTACTACAAGATGACTGCCAATGGTTGTAAGATCACAGAATATCTATTTTTTGAACAGATATTGTCATATAACTTTGTAGGAACAATTGTTGTCAATTGGTATTTCATATCTTGATAAAAAACACTGGGTTTTTTTTATAACTTGACCATTAATCTAAAGTCAAAGAACATACAGAAGCTTAAAAATCAAAAAACAAACAAAGCCCACAAACCTATGCTAGGAAATGCCTGAAATCCAAGGAGAATGCAATGGCATATGATGGTAAATGTTCCAAAAGCAAATGCTTACTTTTTTCCTTTTCTTCTCTTTCCTCACCTTATTTTTTTTTCCTTTTCCCTGTAGAGGCTGAAGTGATAATAAATTATAAGATTAGGTATTGATGTATTTTTCCCCTTACAATAGACTTCACATATTAAGAAATAGTGAAACATCCAATCCTGAAAGTGAGTAGCCACCCAAGAGAGGTTTCTAGAGATGTTCTCTGCATAGGGTAGGAGGTTGATAAGAGTAATGGGAATAATGTATACCCGTGATGGTTTTTTAGGAAAAGTGCCATGTATGTTTTTTTAGTGTCATTTTGCTTTTTTATGTATTCTTTTGTTTTGTTTTGCTTGCTAGATGTTACCTCTATGTCCTTTCATGAGTTAATTTTCCTCAGTGTACTACCTGTTTATGCAAACGTTTCTATCTTACCGACTATTATCTACTTGTTAACTTTTCTCTAAATTCTACTTGCTTTGTTTATGTAAAAAATACTTTTAATTTATTTAAAATAATAATGTTAATTAATTTAAATAAATACTTTTAATGTTTGTAATTTTTATAAACAATGAGGGATATTGAGTACAAATTACTTTGGGGATTACTCAGTACTTATATTTTAAATGTCTAATATTTGTTACCACAAGACATTGATATTAACTTACTCTTTATTATCTTTCTGGTTAGCATGAATTCAAAAAAAAATTTTTTCAGCAGATTTTACTCCTCTATTCATTTAATCAGTAAATATTTATAAGCCACTGTTCATAACATTCGTAGAAAGTCACCCATACATACTTCTAAGAAAGGCATTCAACATGCCAGGCACTGTCCTGTTCACAGGAACAGAGGGAATTAGGTAAGGTCCCTTTCTAGTAAAGTTTTCTTTCTGAGTTATGTGTGTCTCTCTGTGTGTTTGAGTATACATATATGAGCATGTGCATGATCATGTTTGTATTTTTTCACATTATGGGCACAGAAAAAAACAAGTAAACTGATAAAATTTCAGCTGCTGAAAGGGATATGCTCCAGGGGATGTCTCAGTAACCCAGGACCTGAGACTGCTTGTGAAGCCTGTTGTCTCCACCTGTCACCTGAACTGAGCCCAGGACCTTAGAGAGCCTTGTCTTGGGGCAGGATCCCACCAACTGCTGCTTACCAGTGCTTCCCCACTGTCTGCTCCTGCAGGAAACAGACCCAAGAGCTGTCCAGCCACTGCACCCTGCACAGGTACCTCATCCCCTCACACCTTCCCCATGGCTTCCAGGGGCTCCTTTCCTCCCACCAGGGAGTAAGAGGAGGTGCTGCTGCCTTTTCAGACAAAGAGAAGCTCCAACTCAGGGGAGGAGACAGCGAGTGCTCAGGGCGAGTGGAGGTTTGGTATGAAGGTGCCTGGGGCACTGTGTGTGATGACTCCTGGAGCCTGGCAGAGGCTGAGGTGGTGTGTCAGCAGCTGGGCTGTGGCTCTGCCCTGGAAGCCCCAGGAGAAGCTGCATTTGGCCCTGGAAATGGAAGCATCTGGCTGGATGAGTTGCAGTGCAGGGGCAGGGAGCCCTCCCTGTGGGCCTGTGCTGCAGCACCCTGGGGACAGAGTGACTGCAAGCATGAGGAGGACGCTGGTGTGAGGTGCTCTGGTGAGTAGCAGGACCAGGACGGGGGGACAGGGTTGAAGTGTGTTTGCATCCAAAGGGCTTCCCAGTTTGCCCTGCTGCCCTGAACTCTTTGCATCTGGAAGAGAACCATGTGCCAGTGGTGATGGGTGGGCAGGAATGACATTCCCAGACCAGCACAATGCAATGATTCCATTTTCCTTCTCTTCTTCCCAGGTAAAAGGACACGAATTCACCCCACTCCTAGAAATAAGTGGTTCTTTTACTCTGAATCAGGTAATAAGGAGTTAAGTAGATTTTCAGTGTTCTGCCCTATAGAGTCTACACAGGCCTGATGATCAGGTGTTAAAAGAAGCCATCATTTTTATTAAGTTGTAGCAGAGAGCTCCAAAGCCTCACACACATTCACTTTATGGAAAACCCTTCAAACTAGACTCAGAAGATAGTTGACACAGCCCAGATCAGGATCTAGGGTGGCAATATCCTGGGATTCAGGCAGATCTATGATGACTGAGCTAGAGATTTCATGGTCCTGAAGATTCAAGTGATGACCAGGATAATTGGGTTCTCCTGAGCTTATGGTCCTCTCTAAAGACTCATGGCCCTTTTCTTCTTCAGGCACCAGTTCAGCCTCAGCCCCTGTCCCTGGCATCTTCTCCTTACCTGGGATCCTCTGCATGATCCTGGGAGCCCTTCTGTTTCTGGTCCTAATCATCCTGGGAACTCAGCTGCTCAGATGGAGAGCAAAGCACCAAGGTGGGGCATAGGAATGCTGTGACCAGAAAGTATGCAGGGATAATATAGGGTCAATTGTGGGGTTTTGTTTTGTTTTGTTTTTTAAGTATACGTTTTACCTTGTTCTGATTATATGAAAAACTTCTCTACATGGACTTGGAGATTTAGAACACATGAATTCATCCTAGGTTAAAAAATGAAGCCCCAATGCCCCAAATATGATGGTTTCCCATATGAAGAGTGCTAGTGGAGACTGGGTATAAGATCCAGTGGTGGCCAGGAAATCTAGTTCTATCCCAATGATCACAAAGATAAAGAAAGGGACCATAAGCTCAGGAGAACCCAATTATCCTGATCATCACTTGAATCTTCAGGACCATGAAGTCCCTAGCTCAGAGGGTATCTCCAAGAGTGTGCATTGGAGAAGATTTTGTCTGTTGGTAAAGGAAAGACTTCTAGGAGCAATATCTGAACTCATTCTGCTTTCCACAGCCTTATCCACTTTTGAAGCTGCTGTTGATGAAGTCCTGTACCAGGAGATAGATCACTCAATAAATCCAGAAAATGAGAGCCTGCTAAACAGCCCAGGTGTGTTCCATAGCCTCCTTTTATTTGCATGAGTTTGCCATCAGTGTGGGAATCTTCAGTAAGCAAAGACAACATGACTAACCCTGCCACACATGGCATATTAGATAGCTTTTTATTACTGAAATAAAATGCCTAAGATAATCAAATTATAAGGAGGAAATATTTATTTATTTTGACTCACATTTTCAGATGTTTTACTCCATGGTAACCTGGCAGCATATCATGCTGGGAGCAAGTAGTGGGGCAAAGATGCTCACCTCATAGTGACCAGCAAACCAATAAAAAGAGGAAGAGATTAGCATCCTATAATCCTTTTCAAGACCATGTTCCCAACAACTTAATACCTCCCACTAGTCCCAGCTCCTTAAAGGTTTTACCTTTTCCATTACCACCAACCTGTGGACCAATCATTTAAAACATGAACTTTTAGGAATATTTCTGGACCACTGTAACAATTCTCAGCATCCTCCAATGGCAAGAGCTCCAAGCCCTCTCTCTACAAGTATGAAGCTTCAAAATTTCTTCTGAACCATAAACCAAAATTTCTTCTGGACCTCCTACTGTGTTTTTCTATGATGCTTTCTCTCTACTAGGAACCATGTCTAATGGCTCAGCAACTGAGCTACCCTATAACCCAGGGGACAGTGAGGAGAATGGAGACCCCGAATCTGCCCCAGGTAGTAGAGACAAGTCTTCCCTTGGATAGTGGGGGTGAGGAGGAGGTTATCATCTGAGAAAAACTTTCTATGATTAGGATGGGAAGGGTCTCTTCTGTCTGGTTCACAACTATTTTTTTTCCTCTCCACCCTCTCTGTCATCTAGAAAAGGAAAGATTACATTCTAATCTGTTAGTTTCCATAGCTACTTCCTTATGGTCATAGGTATACTTCAAACATATCATTGTAAAAACCCAAGGTCATAATTTTAAAAAGAACATTTGAACCTGATCATCTCAAAAATTTCTTGGTAAAAGAGGACATTGAGAAGCATGGATTTGAGGTTTTGATCCTGAAATAGAGGGATGTATGCACCATTTTGTGGTTTAAGTGATACTAAATAATGATCTTCATAATCCCTGAAACACATGGAGTGTGTGATATCTGTACTTATCAATCACTTAGCTCTTGTCTACACCTTTGTAGACCTAAGAAAGGAAGACATCCTGGATCTTCCCCAAGTGGTAAAAATGGAGAGTTCCTGAGATGAGGCATGTCCAGGAGTGCTCTGTCAAGATGGATCTTAAGGACAGCAGAGCAGTAGAGGAGGTTGAAACCCATGCCTCCTGGAATTGGAATTAGTAGGATAGCCTATGTGTGGGAGACAGAAAGCCAGGTTTCTCTTCTGGACAGCACTGTGTCTCCATTGCCTCAGAGGCCATATGAACAACATGCATTCTCCTTAATCCTGATGAAATCTCCCTGACTCACTGATACGTACATATTTTTTCAACCCTCTACCACATGCCTGAAAAGAGTGCCTCAAACTCAGCATAACTTTTATCGATGTTTTGTGGAATAATGTTAGTAAAATATTATTGACCTTAGTATACTGAAATATTTAGATGATTTACGTGGTTTCTAAGAATACAGAGATCAATTATGCCTTTGGGACAACCTTGGAATATGGTGCCTATATTTATCAGCTATTAGAATCTCTGCATTAGAAGAGACTGAAGACATCACCTTGACTAACCCCCTAGTGATAGGAATGGGGTTCCCCTCGGTGAAATGAGAAATAAAAGCTAAGAGAAATAAAATGGCTGAAAAATCACAGAACACAGAAAGTAGTTTCAAAAGCGGGGATAGGACAAGCAAGCTAATCAAACGAATTGAGCTTCTGGACAAAATGGAGCCCACACCTGCTTTATTTATATCAGGAAACATCAAAGGCCTTCCATAGCATATTCTTTACCAAACTAGGATAAAGGTGGGCTGACCAGTTCCTAATAGGATATGCCCATCTCTGGTCCTACTATGAGGAACCTTTCTAGCACAGTGGAGGGAAAGGTCATATGCATTAGGTGATCTATTGCCCTGGGAAAGCCACAGAAAGTTCCCAATGCCAGGCCTATCCCTCCTTGGCTTCCAAGGTGAGAGAAGGTCCTCATGTATTTCATGGATGGCTTCCTGCAACTAACAAGTATCTTGCTCTTCCACTTACTCTCTGTTTTCAGAACCTGCAGGGCAGCATGCAGATGCCACCAGTAATAGTTATGATGATGTTGAAGAGTTACCTGTTTCTGAAATTCCTTCTTCCTCTGGAATGAAGGAGAAAACTTTTTTCCCAGAAGAGGGAGGTGGTGCCAGGTATTCTCAGACAGGTATGTGGATAGCTCTCTCTCCAGTTGTCCTGCATTATTGTCATGGAAAAGATGGATTTGGACATGTTAAAGAACCATTTTCTTTTATTACAAGAATCTAGGTAGCCTTGTAAACCAAGATGATGTCATCTCTTCCATTTTTCAATAAACAACAGTTTATTGAAGCTGTTGTATTTCTTCTGAAAGGAGATAAATATTGTGTTCTCTGTCTGCACACACAGGCCATGGGATAGAGACATGTATATATGAGCTGCAGAGACTTTGTGGCTTTGTTCCAATTTTCACACAACAAACTAACACCTATGTTCAGACAACAAGTATGTGAGAAGTAATTTGGAAAGCTTTCTAGAGTTTTTATTAGTGAATTATAATTATTCATAATAGTAGCATTCATTTTGACATATTCATAAATACATTTAACATAATTTGCTCCATTTAAATATCTAATGCTTCTCCTTTCCCAGCCTCCCCTTGATCCCCTTCCTCTATTCAACTGATCTTTCTTCTATTTATTTATTGTTTTTTAGCTATTGCATCACAGTTATATTTAAACATAGAATTCATTGTGACATATCCAAGCACACAAATAGCATAATTTGGTTAATTTCATTCCAGAGTTTCTTCCTTTTCCTTCCCCTCTTCCTCCCCCTCAATCCCCTTCGACTCCACTGTTATTGTATTTTCATGAGATCTCCCCCAGATTTTTTTATTTCTTATTTCCCTCTAGTTTCTGCATATGAGAGAAAACATTCAACCCTTAACTTCCTGAGTCTGGCTTATTTCATTTAGCATGATTTTCTCCAGTTCCATCCATTATCCATTTTTCCATTTTTCTTTATGTCTAAATGGAACTGTGTGTGTGTGTGTGTTTGTGTGCAATCACATTTTTTTTATCTATTCATTCCTTGACAGACACCTAGGCTGGTTCCATAACTTGGTTACTATGAATTCTACTGTTATAAACATAGATATACCTATATCACTGTAATATGCTGAATTCAGCTCTTTTATAAATATCAACAAGTGGAATAGCAGGGACCCTAGTCCTGTGATTGTACTAATTTGTGGTCCCACCAAGAATGTATGAGTGTTTCTTACTCCTCACATCCTCACCAACACTTATTTATTTACTTTTTAATGTTTTATTAGTACATTATAGTTCTACATAATAGTAGAATAGTAGGGTTAATTTTTACATAGTCATACATGCATGAAATAAAGTTTTCTCCATTTCAACCCCTAATACTCCACTTTTCTTCTGCTCTCTCTTCTTCTGCTCCCCCTTCTCTACTCTACCAATCATTCTTATGATTATTTATAGTTTTTTTAAACTGGTGCTGTATAGACATACATAAAGGTGAAATTCACTGTGGTATATTTATGTATATACATAACAAAATTTGGTCGATTTCATTCCATAATTCCTCCCTTTTGCTATCTTTTCCTCCCTCCTTGTCAATCTTTTTACTCTATTCCACTGATTTCTACTTTCATAGGATACCCCCCTTTTTATTTCCTTATTTTGTCCCAGCTTCTGCGTAAGAGACAGAATATCCAACTTCTGGATTTTTCAGTTTGGTGTATTTCACTTAGCATGATATTCTCCAGGTCCATTCATTTACCTGAAAATGCAATAATTTCATTTCTTATAGCTGAGTAAAATTCCATTTTGTATATTTGCCAATTTTCTTTATCATTCATCTATTGACAGGTGCCCATGCTATTTTCATAACTTGGCTATTGTGAATTGTGATTTTATAAACATTGATATGCCTATATCCTTGGATGAAAACTAAGGAATGACTTGTATCCCAGGGGTTTTGGAGCCTGAGGCAGGAGGATCGGGAGTTCAAAGCCAGCCTCAGCAATTTAGTGAAGCCCTAAATAACTCAGCAAGACCCAGTCTCTAAATAAAATATTAAAAAGGGTTGGAAATGTGGCTCAGTGGTTAAGCACATCTGGGTTCAATCTCTGGTACAAAAAAAAAAAAAACAAGGAGAGAGAGTTATGTCATATTGTGATTCCTAGTCTTTTGATGAATCTCCATACTGATTTCAAAAATGATTGTACTAATTTGCAATACCACCAACGATGTACTTTTACCCCGCATCTTCACCAGCATTTATTATTTGTATTCTTGATGATTGCCATCCTAACAGGGGCTAGATGACATCACAATGTAGTTTTGATTTTTATTCCCTTGATTGCTAGAGACATTATTTGTTGGTCATTTGTATTTATTCTTTTAAGAAACATCTATTTATTGATTGATTGGGTTAATTGTTTGGGGGGTGTTAACTTTTTAGGTTCTTCATTTATTCTAGGTATTAATCCCCTGTTAAAGGAGTAGCTGACAGAAGACTTTCTCCCACTTCATAGGCTCCCTTTTCATGCTCTTGTTTCCTTTGCTGTGCAGAAACATTTTAATTTGATGCCATCCCACATGTTGATTCTTGATTTTATTACTTGAGTCTTAGGAGTCTTAATAAGGTAACTATAGCAACATGTTAGAGAGGTGAGCCTATTTTTAATTCTACCAGTTGCAAAGTTCCTAGGTCTTTGATATATTTTCAGTTGACTTTTGTACAGGGTGAGAGATAGGGGTCTAGTTTTATTCTACACATGGACATCCAGTTTTCCAGCACCATTTGTTATAAATGCTATTTTTTCTCCAACATATGTTTTGGGCACCTTTGTCAAGTATTAGATGAAAATATTTATTTGGGCTTATTTCTGTCTTCTATTTCTTTGTCTTCTGTTTTTATGCCAGTACCATGCTATTTTTGTTACTATAAAACTGTAATATATTTGAGATTGAAAATTGTGTGATGTTTCCAGCATGTTCTTCTTGCTCAGTATCGCTTTAACTATTCTGGATCTTTTATTCTTCCATATTCATTTTAGGACTGATTTTTTTCTACTTCTGTGAATAATGTCATTGATATTTAATGGGGATTGCAATGAATCTGTAGATTGCTTTTGGGAGTATGACCACTTTAACAATATTAAATCTGCTAATTGAAGAACAAGGGATGTCGTTCCATCTTCTAAGATCTTTCTCAATTTCATTCTTCAGTGATCTATAGTTTTATCTTAGCGGTCTTTTACCACCTTGGTTACCCTTATTACCAGGTTTTGGTTTTGGTTTTTGGTTTTTAGAGGATATTATGAATGGAATCGTTTTTCTGTGGTTTTTTATTTTGTATTGGGTTCACTATTGGTATATAGCAAATCTATTAAGTTTTGCTTTTGGTCTCAGTTTTTGGTTTTTCTTTTTGTTGGTTTGTTTTTTTGTGGGTTTTTTTTGTTTTCTTTTCTTTTGTTTTGTTTTTTTGGTGTTGTTTGTTTGGTTCTAGAAATTTAAACCAGACTGTTTTACCACTGAGCTACATCCCTACCCCTTTTGGGTTTTGTTTGTTTGTTTGTTTGTTTGAGACAGGGTCTCACAGAGTTGCTTAGGGCCTCATTAAGTTGCAGAGACTGGTCTTAAACTTGCAATCCTCTTGTCAGCCTCTCCAATTGCTGGGATTATAGTTTGCAACACAGCGCTCAACATGAAAAATCTATGAATGTTTGTATGTTGATCTTGTGTCCTGCTATTTTGCTGAATTTGTTTACCATTTCTGAAAGTTTTCTGGTAGAGATTTAGGGGTCTTATATGAATAGAATCATATCAACTGCAAATGAAAATAATTTTACTTCTTTTCCCTTTGTTATCCCTTTAATTTTCTCCTTTTGCCTAACTTCTCTGGCTAAAACTACAAGAAATATATAGAAGTGGTAAGAGTTTAAATCCTTGTCCTGCTCCTGATTTTAGAATAAATGCTTTTATTTTCTCTCCATCCATTATGATGTTGGTTTTCAGTTGGTCACTTACAGCCTTCATGAGTTTGAGACACTTTCCTTCTATTCCTAGTGTCTTCCATGTTTTGGGGGGGATAACAGGGATTGAACTTGAACTCAGGGGCACTCAATCACTGAACCACATCCCCAGCCCTATTTTGTATTTTATTTAGAAACAGGGTATCACTGAGTTGCTTAGCACCTCTCCGTTGCTGAGGCTGGCTTTGAATTCGTAATCCTCCTGTCTCAGCCTCCCAAGCCACTGGGATTACAGGCACGTGCCACTATGCTCTGCCTCTTGCATGTTTTTAACATGAGTGAGTGCTGATTTTTGTCAATGACTTTTTCTGTCTATTGAGATGGTCATGTGATTTTTTGTACTTAAGTTTATTTATGTGATGATTTATATTTATTGATTTTTGTGTACTGAACAAACTTTCACCTATTTTGAGGAAAGCACATAGCTAAATGTGCTTTCTAGTTGACATGTCCCACTATTAATGCATAATGTGCAATAGCCTTAACTAGAGAATATTGAAATTTTCATGCTAGAAGGAATGATTTTTGTCTTATTGTTTCAAATAACATATGGTGTTATTTCTTGGGATTGGGCTTCCTACTTGCGCATGGGCATGTGGTCCATGGGAAACAGGAAACTATTGAATTTAATTGAGCTTCCCCACTTCAGCATCTGCCAAAGGACCCAAATTGTTGTCATGAATACTGTGAGGTCAAGTGTGGTCTGTTATTGAGGTACTGAGGAATCAAGGGAGGTCATCTTCTGCTTGGAGTGCTTAAGGAATCAGCCTAGTATGGAAGAGAGGGTGCTCATGTGAGTATATTTACTCTCAGCAACCTCTGAAAATTCAGTGTTTGAACTGAATGAATCTCACATGGGATCTCCCACAATTCTGTCCCATAGTTGCTTCTACCATCCTTCTTCTCATTGAAATCAAGGCATTTGGACAGAGCAGAGTTCCTGTGATATAGCTCTATTAATCCTTCCAGAAAAGTTCGGGTTCCCCATAGATATTTTGTAGCCATTCTACTAGTCTTTCATCCTACAAGAGGTCTCTGTATTGTCATTTTGTCACCACTAAAACCAGGATTCTCTAACTGTTTCAGGCACCTCTCCTCAGTCTCTCAGAGAAGCTGATAATTCTAACACAGAAGAGACAGCATCCTCATTGGTCCTGAGACAAGATGACCCTGGATATGATGATGTTGAGCCTAACACCACGTAGTGCTATTTTTTAGAGCAACCAAGTCTGCAGAGAACTCTTTATATTATTTCTCCTTAATAAAAGAGAATTCTGTCTTCATTTCAGCAATGTTTTACATGTATCCCTTATACATAATAAATACTCTGAGCCTCAAAGACAAGTTTTGTTCTCTTAACATGAGTACATTTACTCTCAGCAACCTCTGAAAATTCAGTGTTTGAACTGAATGGATCTCACATGAGATCTCCCACCATTCTGTCCCATAGTTGCTTCCTTTAGATGGACAGATATTCATTCTTCTCATGAATATCATGAAACTGAAATGCAGTCCTGAACAAAGTTTTTTCCAAAAAAATTGCAAAAATTTTCTAAGTGGCTGTACATACAATGAATTTTTTTCACCCCAGACCATCTTCACATATTTATTGGAATCAGAAAAGAGTAAGTAGACCAAGCATTGCAATTCTCTATGCTACAGGCTCATTATTCTCTACAGCCATTTCCAAAATTTAGTTATACACATGCAAGCAGAATGAATGTTTCCATATCTGCCTTCTGTGTAATATTAAATCAAGATTGTCTTTACTATTTTTTGTGATTTCTCCCTTTTCCTTTATGAGTTTTTTATGTTTTTATTAGTGTTTTATTATACATGATAATGAGGTTCATTTTAATATATATATTCATATAATATAATTTGCTCCATTATGATCTCCAGTACTTCCACTTTCCCTCCTCTCCTCCCTTTCCCTTATTCCTGGTCACTACTCTACTGGTCTCCATTCTATTTATTTATTGATTTTTAATTGGTGCTTCATAGATACTCAATTCACTGTGGTATGTTTGTATATGTACATAAAATAATTTGGTCAATTTCATCCTGCATTTCTTCTTTTCCCTGTCCCTCTTCCTCCCCCCTCAGTTCTCTTCCTCTACTCCAGTGAACTCACTTCTATTTTCTTTGGATACCCCCTTTATAAATTTCCTTATTTCCCTCTAGCTTCCCCATATGAGAGAAAACATTTGACTTTGACTTTCTGAGTCTGACTTTCTCTATTCTTTTTTAACTTAAATATTATTTAAAAATAAAATAATGTACATGAAATTATGAAAAAAATCTACAATCATAAACCATATGTACAGTTATTTTTCAAAAACTTTCCATATACTTCTATAATTCAAAATTTGGGGCTGGGGATGTAGCTCAAGCAGTAGCGCGCTCACCTGGCATGTGTGCGGCCCGGGTTCAATCCTCAGCACCACATACAAACAAAGGTGTGTGTCCCCCAAAAACTAAAAAAATAAATAAATAAATATTTTTTTAAAATTCTCTCTCTCTCTCTAAAAAATTTTTTGGAAATATTTCACTATATTAAAAAGTTCAAAGCCCTTAGCTTAGGCTATGAAGTATCCACATTTGGAATTCTATCTTCATGCTGAGCCTCATTAGCTACACATTCAGTCAGTTTTAAGAATAATCAATAACAAACTGTTTTCTAAACATGTAAGATTCTTTTGCAAATATGTGTTTTATACATGTCTCTGGAATGGCCCTTGTGGTACTCACCTTTTCCTACCCCATTTCTCCCAGTTTTAATTGCATTGTTTTGGGGGATTTGAGGTGGGGTGAGGGCAGGGAGGGGTATGCTTTTCATATCACTTATCAATCCAGTAAGCTAAATTGGATTAAAGTCATAATCAGACACTTAATAACTAGGAGTTCTATTGGACAATATTTACATAGTATTTACATAGATTTTTAAGTGGATAAATTTCTCACTCCAGAAAAATATATTTGTGTGTTTTATCATCTTTTTAATATTTTAGTCATACATGGACATAATATCTTTATTTTGTTTTGCTTTGTTTTTTTTTTAATGTGGTGCTGAGAATCAAACCCAGTGCCCCACATGTGTGAGGAAATGCTCTGCCACTGAGCCACAACCCCAGCCCTATCACCTTTTTAATAGTGCATGTCTTAAATGTTCACCAACTTTTGCTATCACCATTCCTTATTCCAGAAATTATAAAACCAGAGTAGATTCTATTCCTGTGTCCTATATATTTCAAGTACATAGGAAAGACAGGAATGACATGCACTCTAGCTAACTCACACAAAGCTAATTTTGAAACTAGAGCTCAAGACAAAATTTGATTCTCCACTTCTGCTGGCCGGTTGGGGCCTGTGCAAGCTGCAGGCCTCTGCAGCTAAGAAAGCCCATTTTAGTTTAAGTAGCTAATTACATCAAGGGATGCTGGTGGAGTTGGCAAATCTTATTTCTTCTCTACAACCACTGAGTGGTGTGTTATAGCTCTCGGTATTGGAGCTCTAAATGGGGGATATGCCCTCCAGTGTTGCAATAGACTCTAGCAGCTCCCTGCCAACTTCTCTCCATGTTCTTGTCTTGCAAATCCAAAGAATGAGATTCATTGAACGTGGAAGGTAAGAGTGAAAGGAGTAGGACTTATTTTATTAAAAAATAGAACTCTTATAAGGGCAAGAGAGGACACAGGTAGGGGTTACCAGCAGTGTGTGCTAGTCTAGAGATTTATACAGCATTTGGGTCAATGCTATTGGTCCAAATGTATGTTAATCAGGGTTTGGAAAAGCACTAATGCTGTTGATTAACTCTTGAGTCTGAATTTCCATTCAGACCTGCCCCCACTCCTTTTCCTCACTGTTGGCCAGGAAACAGGAAGTTGAGGTCATTGGATAGTGGATGCTCAGGGATTCTGGCTGCAGCCTGTGTGGAGCAGGCATCCACATCAGGCCAGTCAGACCTCCATAGCATGATAGATCCATGTCCCCTGGCTCTCCTGTGCCCTGGCTTGCAGTGCCTTGGGTCCACACTGGTGTGGCAGACACTACTACAGCCTTGGCCCATGTTCATAGCCCAGCTCCAGACCACTGGGGCTACCTTTCCACAACTCCAGGAAAATGACTTGGCTTCAATATCATTCAATCATCATATCAACATTAATACAAAATCATTCATTGATGATCACAGACTTTTCAAAAACATCACTTCTTATCTTTTTATTAAAACTATTAGAGAAATTTACTTGGGTCTTTCCAAGTGGTAATAACTTTCTGGAGAAAATCTGAGTTTTAATTGTTGACAATTGTCCAAGCCACACTATACAGAATAAATTACCCATGTCAGAGAAGACCCTGTTTCCATGGAGAGGCATTAATATTGAAAGGAAATGAGCCTTGTCTGTGGGAGGCCAACCTTATGGGTGACTGAGTTACACTCCCCAGCTGGGTGCTGAGGCGCTCAGTCACAGAAATGGGTGTGTCTTGCTACAGCCCCATGGGTGAAGCTATGCTCACATGTTCCTTTGTAATATAACCCCAAGCCCTGTTTAGGATAGAATCTTCCATGGAAGTGCCTTGTGTGTGTCCCCTCCTCTTACTGTGCCCTTGGGTGTGGCCTACCCAGGTGTCAGTCAACCTGCTGACAGTGGACATCATGAAGATAGACTCAGCCCCTGAAACCTGACCCCTTGCCTCATTTGAATAGCTTCTCCTCAATAAAAGGGGTCAGTGTGTGCTCTCACACTCTCTCTTCCTGTGGACCCTTAAGGTCAGAGGAGCCGTCACAGCAACCCCAAAGAAAAAGGTATTTGTGTCTCTTGTGTGGTTATTTCGTGCAGCCCAGTTTAACTAGAGTGACCCCTGAGCCTTTTAGTCGCAAGAACAGAAACCCGGCACTTGTCTATTAAAACAATCGGACTCTGAATAGAGCCTGAATGAAGAAAAGTGAAGTCATTTGATTGAGATCCTGATTCTCTTGCTCTAAAGAGAGCTGAAAAATAACTTTGCATCAACTTCAGTGGGAGAGCTAAGTTACTGTCATTTCCCCCTCTGATCTAGGTCTATACAAACCCACTGATCCCAGCTAACTCTGTGCACCAGAGTAAGGTAGACTGATCTGAGACAATGGGGAAATATGGAGACAACCATATTCATTTCTCCTTTAAATGTAAACCCAGGAATATAATTTACAAATCCAAGTCAAGAACAATTTTTGGGAAAAGAAAATGTAATGGAGATTGGCAGAATAAAATTTTTATACCTATTTCCTCCCAAGATATCAATGAAGAATATAACTATACAGAAATAAATTCCTCACTGTTTTCACAAGCGGCTATATGCATTATGTGACAGGTCCAGAGTTAAAATGGCAGAGAGACTAAATGTTACTGAGAGATTACTAAATGAGACGTTAATTTTTATTTCTTTTTGAGTAAAATCAGGATGGTTATTTGTGAATGGTCAAAAGTTAAGATTAAAAAATAGTATCCATTTAAAAATGTAAACAATTACGTAACCACAATAAAAAATCTACTCGCCACGGTGGAATCAATGTGGTGAAAGAAATGAACAAAGAAGTACATGTGTAAATGTGAACAATTGGAAAGTTTAATATTACACTTTGCCACTCAGTCATCTCCTCTATTAATAAGGGCAAAGTACTTCATTTCTACTTTTACAGAAGCAGTGAAAATTGAACTTGAAAAATTATACCAAATTACAAGGAAAGTTTGCTTCTGCAACATCAACGATGAAGCCCTCTAGTTGTCAATGGATGAGGAAGGGAAATCAACACATCCTCATGTTGTGACAACTGTCAGTCAAAACACAGTCAGACACCTAGGGTAGGTAAAAACCCAGTTATCACACAAACAGAACACATATGAGTCAAGACCAAGATGAAAGACGAAGACTAGGATCTGCAATTGGCATTTTCTAGAACATAAAAATAAGACATTAACTTTAAATAAGATGTAAAATTTTTATTTAAAAATGATATAAAAATAAGGCATGAATTATAGTGAGAATAATTTGTGCTGCGCCCCTCTCCTGACTCAGGCAAAGGCAAAGCACTACTGAGATGGATGTCACAAGGCAGCCATCCTCTGGAGGAGTGCACTATGTTTCTGGGAATGGACTGGTTTGTTTTTGTATTCTGTTAATAATTATAGTTGCGACTTCTCATATGATCATTAAGTATGAAGGAAAAAACATGACTTTCCCAATTAATGCAACTACTTCTAAAGAATACATCTGTTTGCTCTAAATGCAATGATTCAGCTGTGGAACATAAATTGTTAATGTTTAATGAGAAACCCCCTGTAGGAAAAACAGTCA